TTAGTTGGAAGTGATGTTGGTACGTCCCAGTGGGAGTGGGAAGTGATAAGGTTCACCTGGAGCTTAGAAGAAAGGCCAGGGCTGTTACTCTCAGTATGGGAGTGCCAGGAATGGAGGGCTGCATTCCACCCCTTGGAATCGAAGCTCTAGAAAGAAATACCATTGAGAAAAGAAGGTAGCGAGTGAAAAACCAAAGATGGAGGCGTGAGCCTCAGTGAATGCTCTCATTAGAAAGGTAGAAGGAGGAAGAGGACTGTATGAAGGCGACAGAAAAGGCACCATCTCCAGGTTTGGAGCAAGTGAGAATAACAGAAGAGGTGGAAGAGAGAATGTGGAGGGTATATACTTACAGAAGGAAGAAGACAATGTCAGAAGGGAGGGGAGAGTCAATGATACCAACTGCAGTTCAGAGATCAAGGAGTCGCCTTCCTTGGCAATTGAGCCGTCACTGATCTTGCATTATCTGGTTGGAGTAGATCCATTGCCACTGGATAATGAACACAGATGTCAGAGGGGAGATTAAGGGATGATGAAGCATATGCATCCCATAAAGAATTAAAAAGGAATATCAGGAAAAGGAAGTGGAGAAAATCAAATGGTCATGACACCTTATAGGGATTCTCTGAAAAATGCCCAGCAATATACACTCTCTAAGTTGATGTTTTAGTCCGTTTTGTGTTGCTATAACAGAAATACCTGAGACTGGGTAATTTATAAAGAAGAGAAGTGTATTTGGCTTATGATTTTGGGACAGCTGCATCTGGCATGGGCCTCAGGCTGCTTCTACTCATGGAGGAAAGTGGCAGGGAGCTGGCGGGTACAAGCAGATCACTCACCATGTGAAGCAAGAGAGAGAGAGAAGGTGCCAGGGTCTTTTTAAGCAATGAGCTCTTGCGGGAACTAATAGAGCGAGAACTCACTCATTACTCCACCCTCCCCCAGGGAGAGCATTAATCCATTCGTGAGGGATCTGCCCCCATGACTCAATCAGTTTCCAACACTGCCACATTGGGGATCAAATTTCCACATGAGTTTTGGCAGGGACAACATATCCAAACTCCATCAGTTGAGGTAACATTATGGATCTGTAATCAAAAAATTTTTTTAATTTGAAAATATGTAATTGACAACAATGGTAGACATTCAAAGTATACAACATGATGATACATACACATTGTGTAATAATGATCGGAATTAAATTAACACAGTCGTCACCACCCATGCTGTACATTAGATGCCCAAAACTTGGTCATGTTAGAACTGAAAGTTTTTATCCGTGTAAAACAATTTTATTTTATTTTATTTTAATAAAGAAAATGAAATTTATTGCTTACAGTTTCTGAGGCTGGGAAGTCCAAAGTCCAACTGATGGTGGCGAGAGTGACCCAGGGGTCTCACATTGCAAGATGGTGGAAGTAGAGGGAGTAGAGAGCTAGAACAAACTTAAATGCAACTGAATCTATTTGGGAAGATTGCCGTAGAGCTGTCCTCCGAACAAATCTGGCTTTTACCCTCAGAACTGCTCATTTGCTTTCTTGCCAAGCATTAAGTAGAATTTAATTTGAGAGAAACTGTATTCAGCTAGTTGTCTCTTCTTCTTAGATGTGCTTTCTTTCTAAGCCAGTCTTTAAAATTCTGTCACTGGCTTTGATGGTCTATTAATATGCTAAGTATATGTATGTTTGGACCTAACCTTCTTTGATCTTAATTTCAGCCCAAAATAACCTGGATGAAAAACAAAGTTGCTATTGTGGATGATCCCAGATACAGGATGTTCAGCAACCAGGGGGTGTGTACCCTGGAGATTCGTAAGCCTAGCCCCTATGACGGAGGCACTTACAGCTGCCAAGCAGTCAATAACCTTGGGACAGTGGAGATTGAATGCAAACTGGAGGTGAAAGGTATGACATTCAAGATCTCATGTATAGACTGAAGTTAGACAAAATCATTTAGTTATTGTTCTTAGTGCAAAATCCAAATCGTTTGCCAAAATGATCCAGCTGGGGCAGGAGTGGTGGGGGTGGGGGCGGCAAGGGAAGTGGGGAGGGAATTTGGGGAGAGAAGACATTTTTACATTCTGCATTCACTCTACTGGATTTGTTGAAGACTACTTGGTTATTTAAGTCAACTTATTTTTATCTTGTGATTCTTGTTAACTTAAGGAATATTAATTTCAGTGGAATGTTAGTATGTGTACAGCAAGTATAGTGAGAATGAATAAGGTCAAGGGGCTATTACTTTGGTGACATAGTCCATCTATAAATAGAAGGCTTGTGCAAAGACTCATTGAATGAAACTGCAATTAACTTACACTACTTTTAAACAGTTTACTGTTTTGTGAAACTTTCAATATATATGAGTAAATTTGCTAATTTAGTGTTTGATACTATACATATAGAATATAGTATTCACATACTAGAACCAGTTGCCTTTAAAACCTCTAACTGGAGAGTTTCCATTTATAGGTATACTTTTTATTTATCCTTCTTTTATTTAGTTTTCAGAAGTGTCGCAACTAATGTAAACCAAGGAAACACATAGGGATTTATGTGGTAGAAAATTTTAACCATAACCTGCCATCTTAATAAATTTCCTTATTTATTGATTATAATTTTTATACTGAAGTTTTTCTTGACAATCAGAACCATGAAAATCCCTGAAAACAAAGAGTCACCATTGTGAGCTAACAGGTGACATGATCCTAATGTGTTTTCTTGACTATAATATATTCTTATTCTGTGATGACCAGTCTTTATTTTTCCTTCCTCTCTGTAATGAAGAAATAATGATCTAAAAGTCAGAAAGATGACTTTGTAAATATCTGTTTTAGAAAATCACAATAAATGCTTTGGGTATTTTTCTTAAACAGTTTTTTACTCCTTAATCTAGTATAAATACCATAGAGAAACTTCTTGAACAAAATAACTTCCTTTTATAACTTTTTAAAAGCTGTATTCTTTCTCTTATGACTTCTGTCCTCAGGTATACAGATTCATAATTGAGTGATAGGAAAATTATTAAAAATTTTTCCCTCGCATATATAAAGCATATAATATTCTTAGAAAATTTCAAACCTTATCTTTGAGACAGTCCTTACAAATCTAAGCATTATTTTTTTATAGCTGATTTATTAGCT